ATACTATAATATGAATCAAAAATCTCATTTTTTGTTGAAAGGTCCCCAAAACCCATTTTTAATAGCAAAGCTCCCATTTGATTATCATTCTAAAAGAACGATTTATTATCATTCTTAAGGAATGATTTGATTATCATTTCAAAAAGAACAATTTATTATCATTTTTTAAGAAACGATACATTATTATTCTATCAGAATGTTTCTTCTATTATTCCTTTAGAATAATATTTTATCATTCTATTGGAATGATTCTTTTTATTGTTTCTTTAAAATGTTGCATTATCATTCTATCAGAACAGTTCTTTTATTATTTCTTTAGAATGATGTTTTATCGTTCTATCAGAATGATTCTTCTATTATTCCTTTAGAATGATTTTTCTATCATTTCTTTAGAATGATGCATTATCATTCTATAAAAATGATTTTATTTATTATTCCTTTAGAATAATTCTTTTATTGTTTCTTTAAAATGATTCTTTTATTGTTCCTTTATAATAATGATTTATCGTTTAATCAGAATGAATAACTTGAGTCGAGTTGAATTGAAGTTTAAAAATTTTTTTGATCTAACTTGACTTGACTTGATTTTTTGTATCAAATTGAGTTTGACAAAAACTTGCTCAACTCAACTTATTCAGAACTCTAAGTATGATTTAAATTAGGGTCAGTTTAAAATCAGTTTAGGATAAGTTTAGGAACTTAGATTAGTTAGAATTGTTTAGAATTAGTTTAGAATTAGTTTAGAATCAGTTTTAGAATCAGTTTTAGGGTCAGGTTTAGGATCAGTTTAGGGTCGAGGTATTTTATCACATTTTTTGAAATCACGAGATTTTGTTGATTACAGTTAAGGTTGCTAGATAAAATTAAGAGTTTAAACAGACGTCTAAATGGTAAAAGTAAAACTTGGTTAAATTATATTAAAATCTTATTAAAAAATCTGTGAAATTCAGAAAAAGGTAAAACCATATCAAAGCTTATAAAAATGGTGAACTATATCAAAAATTTAGTAAAAATTTAGCGAAATTAAAGGTTTAGACATTTTAGCTAAATCCAAATAAGTTTAGATAAGCAACCTTAATTCTGATAGAATGATAAATCTTTATTCTAAAGAAACAATAAAAAAATTATTCCAATAGAATTATAGTATATCGTTCTTAAGAAATAATAGAAGAAATATTTTAATAGAATGATAAAATATCATTCTAAAAAAATAATAAAAGAATCATTCTGATAGAATAATAAATCATTATTTTGAAGAAATAATAGAAGAATCATTTTGATAGAATAATAAATTATTATTCTAAAGAAATTATAAAAGTAGAGTTGCGATCCAGTTATCTGTATTCGTATCTTATACAGATAATTATTAACAAGTTATATCTATCATTCTAGGTTAGATAGGATCTTTTATCTGTTTATCCTTCTGGTAGATATTTGTATATCTAATTAAAACAGATTAGCAGGATATCTGCCAGATATTCACATATAATTATCCGATCTATTATTGTCAAACAGTATGGTAATCTCAGATGAATAAAACTAAATATTACTTTCGATATGCTAATCAATATTGATCATATGCCTATTTTAGATATTTACAATAGCAAAAAATGAAATTTAATTTTATACAATAAATTGAAAATTTTATGATTTATTTGATTAAATCCAAAATCTTTATTTACAATTATAAAATTTCAAATATCATTTAAAGTAAAGGATGGATGTTTTGATATTGGTTAATATTTTTCAAAAATATCATCCTTTTAAACAATTTGGGAGCAATTCAGGTTCTTTTCAAAGTCATTAAGTTATCAGCATCACTAAATAAACGCTCACTTGGAGTTGATGTTGCTAGAACTGCTAAATATATTTTTGCCAATTTAGATAGGATTGGAAATTGGTTTAAATGTAAATCCCACCATGCTAAAGAATCTTTTTTGAGACCAATTTTGGGTAATTTCATATATTCTTCAACTTCATCAACTGCTGGTAATTCTTCATCCCTTCTAACGATTTTAATAAACATAATGTATATAGAGGATTGATAGTAATTACAAAATTATCAATTTCATCAATTTCTAAATTCAGAACTTCACACTTCTTTTCTTTCTCCTTTTGTCTTTCTTTTAAAACCTTTTCATCTTTATATAAATTCCTAAGAGTATTCTTAACCATCAATCTTGTTGTAATATCCAAAGAATCAAGAGATTTGCATTGTGGGTCTAATAAAGCAGATATCCATTCTTGAGAAGTAGGTTCAGGATAATTATAACAAAGGGATATGTATATATTTTTTTTGACTTTATTTAAAAGGCCTGCAGTATTTACTGAAGTGTTTAATTTCATTTGACGTTGCTGATTCATAGAAGTTTCTTTGGTTACTTGAGGTTCTACTGCTTGTTCTTCCTTATGTTCATTAAAAGCATCCAATTCATTTTCAAAATTCAAATCACATGTTCCATTATTACTAATTATTGCTAGTTTAAAGAAACCTTTCAACACTTTTACAACACAATACATAAAGCTATGTGTAGAATAATAAGAACCACCTAAATATCGAGTTGCTTCTTCAAATAACCCAAGAATTTGCAATAAATCTTTTAACAAATCCCATTCTGAATCTGTTAAATTGATTTCTTTTAATCATTTTCCATCCTTTCGTTTATCAGAATTTTCATGACTAATAAGATAAGTAATAAGAAGTTTAATATAAGTTTTAATTTGAATTAATTGAATCTATGCTAAGTAAGAGCTATTCCATCGTGTTTCACAATCTGAAATACAATTAATTAGATATTCTGTAGTATCTTTAGAATCCTATTAAAATAAAAATAATATTAATATTAGTTTAAAATTATTTTAAAAAAATATTAAAAATCAGGAAATTTTTTCAAAAAATAAAGTAAATGCTATAAAATTATATAATAAAGTTTGCTTAAAAATTATAAAATTAATAAAATTAATTAATATTCTTATCACTGTTGTTTTATTTGGATTTCTTTTTTAAATTTCTTCTAATCATTCCGATTATTTTGGACGTAAAAAAAATCAATTAAATGCTTAGTATAGGATATCAGCATTTTTATAGGCAATAAAGCTTTTTAAGTACTAACTGTAATGTATGTGAACTGCATCTTTGTCACATTATTCCATCCATATCTGCAATAGCCTTTTTGACATTAGAACTACTATCAGTGGTTATTGTATGTACTTTTTTAGTAAGATCCCAATATTCAATAATTTTTTCAAGAGTTTCACGAATATTATTTGCTGTATGAGGGTAGGGAACATATTGTACTACAAGTATGACTTCATTTAATTTAAATTGTTGATTGATATATGTACAAGTAACTCCAATATATCCTTGTCAGCTTCTTGCTATTCAGAGGTTCATAGTAAGAGATACTTTAATGCTATTTTGTTTAAGATAGTCACGTAATAATAAAACTGAATAATTATAAGTACGATATATGATCTGCTTGACTAACTTAATATCTGGGACACGAAATACTGGGTTGAGTTCATTTATAAAATGTTGAAAAAATTTATTTTAAACAATAATCAAAGGTCTTGAGTCAACAATAAGCCAATCAACAAGTAAATCAATTCTTCTTGTTTTTTTCATTATAAAGTCGAACAGATTGATCAGAATTACAAAGAATTGTAAAAAGATCAGTTAATTAACAATACAATTTTTAAATGAAAAATACCTTTTTAGGTAATTGATTGGTTTTTGTAACTTCATGTTCAAAAGATAAATGCCCAATAAGATTACCAGTTGATACTTCGGTCTGATAGGTTCTTCCACATTCTTTGCCAATTATTACTTCAATTTTACATATTTTGTATTTTTCTCATTCCTTTTCTTTCATATGAAGTTCTTGGTGATAAAATTTCCATACCCAGCTCATTTTATTTAACATATTTTCTAAATGAACAATTGTATCTACTGGTATATTATCTTGAAGAATTTCATTATCATTTTGAGGAACTTTATCTTGAGGAACTTCATTCTAAGAAAGATCTTGAGGAACTTCATCCTAAAGAACATCCTAAGAAACTTCATCTTGAGGAACTTCAGCCTGAAAAGTTTTATTTAAAAAAACTTTATCCTGAAGAATTTCAACCTGAGGATTTTTATATGTGTTCTTTTCAGAAAAAACAATTTTTAAGGACATGTTCTTTTATTTTCTCGAATATTAGCATTTGTTATTTCATGTTATCTCTTGGTTAACTGCTTACCTTTGCTAGTTAAAGTTTTTTTAAAAGGCATTTTTTTTCGCATTACTAATTAAAAGTAGAATAGCATGCGAATAAAGTTAGATGATTAAGAAATAAAAGGATAAGCATGTGATTTCGATAGTGTTACATTTATAAACTGCTAAAATCAATGATAAAAGTATATTATATACAAAACTTTAAGTCATTAATTATATGATACGAAAGGTAAGTTAATTAATAATTTATTTAAAGATATTGATATAGTATCCAACAGATATCTGATTATCTTTCAGATAATCTGGATAAGGATCATCTTTCTGAAGCTATATCTATTATCTGTTATAAGATCAGATAATAAGGCAAATAATCCAGATTGCCAGATAATGGATCGCTATACTATATAAAAGAAGTAAATCATTATTTTAAAGAAATGATAGAAAATTGTTCTAATAGAATGATAAAATATTATTCTATCAAAAAGATAAATTAACTTCTACTATATTTATAATATTTGATATAAGTTCTTTTAGTAAAATTAAGTAAACTACTTATATGTGAATGAAATTCTATATAATTATTATTATTATCAAAATAATTATTTTGATATTGTTTTAAATAATATTGTTTTAATAGAATAATAAAAGAATCATTCTAATATAAAATAAACATTATTTTAAAGAAATGATAGAAAAATCATTCTTATAAAACGATAAAACATTATTCTAAAAAAAATAATAAAAGAATCATTCTAAAGAAATGATATAAAAATTATTTTAATAAAATGATAAATATTATTTTATTAAAATAATTCTTTTTATTGTTTTGATAAAATGATAAATAATATATTTTAATAAAACAAAAATACATCATTTTAAAGAAATGATAAAAAAATCATTCTGATAAAATGATATTTAAAAAGAATAATTATGCATCATTTTAATAGAATAATGAAAAGAATTATTATAAAGAAATGATTAATTATTATTTTAAATAATGATTATTATTCTAAAAAAACAATTTATTATTATTCTTAAGAAATGATTTATTATCATTTTAAAAAGAATGATTTTTATCATTATTTTTTTAAATTAATTAAATTATTATTTCTAAAGAACGATTTTATTATTATTTTAAAAAGAACAATTATTCATTCATTATTCTGAAGAATAATTCTTCTCATTATTCTATTGAAATGATATTATTTATCATTTCTTTAAAATGATGAATTATCATTTTATCATACTATTAAAATGATTCTTTTATTATTTCTTTAAAATGATATTTTATCATTCTATTAAAATGATTTTTCTATCATTCTAATAGAATAATATATTATCATTCTATTAGAATAGTCTTATTTATCATTCCTTTAGAATGAAGCATTATCATTCTATTGAAATAATTTTATTTATTATTCCTTTAAAACAGTATTAAAAAGTGACATTAAATGATTCAATTAATTTTAATGATATGTCATATATCATTATATTATTTTAGAGAATAAATGACAAATAATATTTATCATTTAGAATTATATTGTATAATCTATAATACTGTACTATAATGCTAGCCATAATTTTACATTATTTAAGTTTTTTTATAATGATTTAAAATCTTAAATCCTTAAATAGCAAGGGTTTAGACTATTATTAATTTATAACAGAGTTCGTATCCTTTATCCGTTAAAAATAGATATCAAATGAATATTTGAATATTCGGATTAGACAGATACAAAATTTTGAATATCTAGATAATCCAACGGATATCCAGAAAATATCAGAATATCTGTATTATCTAAAGGATATCCAGATATGGTTTGTGATCAGCTTGCACAAACTTTTATTATAAATTGCCGATTTAATAAAAAAAACCGAATTTTTTATACTGAACTAAAAGTATTCGTAAAACAAAAATGCTATAAAGTAATTTTAAAGTATATATATGCCTAATGAATATGATAAGTTTATTTTAACTTGTAACAATTGGTAATTTTTTCACACAAAAAAAAACAATAATATAAACAAGATAATATGAGTGGGCATGAATCACGAGAGCTACGCAGTAACAAAAAAAATAAAGAGATCTCTAAAACAAAGAAGCAACAACAACAAAAAAAGCAATAAAAACAAAAAAGAAAATTAAAAAAACAAGAAAATCAAAAACTGAAACGGAACATGTATCACAAGATTTACCACAAGCTTTATAAAATTTAGCTTTAGGTAATTCAAATTTAATTGATATTAAGCAAAGTATATTGGGAAAAATGATATAAATGAACCACCAGTTCTTGTTGATAGCATAGAATAAGATCATAGTTTGGGAATTTATTCTAATAATAAGCAAAGTTTTATTTGGAAATATCTAGAAAAGTTACTACCTACAGAAAAGTATAAGAAGTGTGTTAAATGTCTTGTCAAAATTTCTGGTCAACCTTGTGGACACATAATAGGATCTGATGGTAGTACTGGAAACTTTATTTTTCATTTAGCAAAGCATCGTATTACATGTGAGACTGATCTGTCACAGAATAATGAAAATGTTGAAGAATCTCAAAGTAATTCTGCTAAAAAAAATCGATTAGACAAGAAGTTTGTTTGAATTATTATAAAAGATAATCAACTATTAAGCATTAGGAATAATGAAGGTTTTCGCGAATTTATGAAAGAAATGGATCTATTTTACGAATTACCAAGTGATAAAAAAGTGCAAGAACTGCTAGTTAATAGTTATAATTATTGTAAAAAAGAAATTATTCATCTATTTGAACAATGTGTTACATCATACTCTTTAACTTTAGACCTTTAGACATCAAGGAATAGAGTTAGTTACTTAGGCGTAACTTATTCATTTGTAAATATTCAAATTTGAACTTTGTAAAGCTACTTTGGCAATTGAATATTTAAAATATTCACATACTAGCGAAAATATTGTTGATTGTCTTAATCAAATCATTAAAAATTGTAATTTAGATGAAAAAATATTTACAATAACCACTAATAATGGAAGTAATATGGTCAAAGCTGGTAATTTACTTAAAGATTCTAATAATATAACGTGTTTTCTATATGCTGCTTATACACTATAATTAGTAATAGGAAAAGGGCTTATTCCAGCAGAAAGATTAGTTGCATAAGCAAAATGTTTAATTAGTTTCTTTACTACACCAAAACAAACTAAAAAATTAATTGAAATTCAAAAAAACATGAGATGTAATCAGAAAAAGGTAAATGTTTAATAATAAAGATATTTAATGTCTATAATTATAATTAAATCATCAGCTAATCTTTAATATTTAATT